TCGCAGGCCGGGAAAAAGAAAGAATTTTAAAGATCCTACTGCTACTGTTGCTGAGGTTGCAACTGCTCCGGCTGCTGGCCCTGACCGGCATTAGGGGCATCCTGGTACTACTGGGTTTGAGTTACCTCACCCGACACTTTTCCCTCTGCCTGCTCATCCCCAATGCCGGCCCACTCCTCGAAAGGCGTCGGCTGCTTAAGCCCGAGAACTTGAGCATCAAATACTTCTGTTGCGTATTTGTACCTCAAGTCGAAGAAGGCGTAGTCAATATCCGGGTGGATCATGGACCATTCCATCTTCATGCGTGCTTCACAGTCACGCTCATTCTCGATGACCAGCCGGGTCTGCTCAGCCGACAGCTGGTCCAGGGCCTCTTTCTTGGACTTAACCAGATCATTCTTGGCTTTATCCAGCTCCTCCCCCAGCCGGGTGACCTCATTTTGCAACCCGGATCTCTCCTTTTTCGCATCCTTCAGAGCTTGGATGTCGGTTTTAAGCTGGTCAATTTGGAGCTGTCGGCCGGCAGCCGTCTTGTTGGCTGTATCAGCAGCAGCCGTCAGCTGCTGGATGAGCTCCTCCTGTTTCATCTCTCGGGCTTTTGTTTGGATTTCAAGCGTTAGGGAGTTGTATTGACAGACATCTATTAATTCGGCTGCCCGTTTCTGGGCATCCCTTACCTCCTCTTGCTTCTTCCGCAAGGGGGTTTTCAACCCATCCACCCTTAGCAACGCCTGCAAGATCAGCCGGAAATGGAGTTAGCAAAATTCAGCTAAAAAGCAACTGTTAGCTAGCAAGTCTTGCACAAAAATACCCCATCCGGTAAATAAGCAAACCGCACAAAAATACTCCATCTTGCAACTTACCTCAGCCAGCAGTGAGGTAATCCGGTCAAGGTTGACCTGGCTGATGCCCGACACAGCCTCCCTCTCGGACCGAGTCAGGGTCCTTAGCATTCTCTTGACATAATTTTGCATATTCGGCCAACGAGAAGTTGTATCTGCATTATGAGAGATATCGGTTAAGTGTTGGGAATAAACGAATCCTATATTCAGCCGGTTGCCGATAGAGTCCCCTGCCTGAGAAGCATGAGACTTGACTCGAACTGGCCCAAGCGGCCAGGGGGGTCAAAAGCAAAGTCCATACCTTGGTTATCAGGGTGAGGGGTGCCACCACCCCCAACCGCATTGGAGCCGGATGCAATAGCAGGCACCCGGCTAGAAGGAGCAGGCTCCTTAGAACCAGCCTCAGCCGGCTCTGAGCTTAAGCCCAGACTTTGCAGACTTTTGCCTGCGATCGTGGGCCTTTCAGGAGTCGGTGCCCTGCCGGCTGAAGTTGGTGCAGGGCCACTTGCAACCCTCCGCCTCTACGACGCCGGCTGCGGGAGTTCTTCTCCCGGCCTCCTAACCATTTGCCTCAGGGAGCGAGGAATGTTCTGGTTCTCCGTCTGTAAAAAATATCAAGCTTGAGTTATAATCAAATTAATTACAAGGCATACAAACAGCAAAAGGTCAGCCGGTGCTTACCCCACTGGCTCGGGTTGCAAGTTGGGCCCGCTTCTGTTCGAGCTGCTCTTTCCTAATCTCAACGGCTGACTTAGCCGGCGTCATTTCCGGAGGAGTCATCTCTAGTCCTTTCTCTACAAAATAACAAGGAAAATGTTAGCAGCATTTAAACACCATGCAGACGGCATAAATTGCCGGTTAAGCAGTAAACCTTTGTCCCAAAAAGTGTTGAGACCGCAGGCGGAGAGGAACGCCTCATTTTTGAACCAGTCCGGATGAGGGACCCAGAATTGAGGGACAATGATTTGTGTAGCATCATCCAGTGGCTCAGTGGTTTTCTTAAATAGTCCCGGCTCCATTATGGCATCCCAAGCCTCAGTTGGTATCCTGGGTAGGGCACATTTCTTTCCCAGCAGATCCGGTTTCTTATTATAACGGCGCATCCGGTGATTAGCAGCCGTAGATGGGGAAGAGACGTAGTAGAACTTGCTCTTCCAGCTAGTCCACTTGGAGAGCTTCTCCAAGGTCATCATATACTCCGGGTGCGTAGTCAGTGTGTACCACGCGTTCCAGCCACCCGGTGCCCGGCTTAAGTAGTGCATGTGGGCAAACGCCTCCCAGCTAGGCGTCACATCCTGCATTTCGCAAGCGGCAATATACCCCAAAATGTTGACCCAGGAGTTGGGTGTAAGTTGCCAGACCCCCAAGTCATAGCCTCTTAAAATGGCTTTGATACATCTGTGTAGGGGGAACCGGAGGCCGGCTTTGAATGCCGCCTCATAGCAGCCGAAGTAGTTATCGACATGTTTAAGGTCGTCTTCTCAGACGACTGATGCATCAGCTGGCGGAACGCCAACCTCCCATTCCTCCCCAATCGGGCGCTTTTCCAAAAATGCTGGGAATGTTGCATTTAACGTCACAACATCCCCGGCGCTCATGTATGCCTCCATTGGATTGTTTATTGAAGGCCAGTTGTATGCCTCCTCAGTATCTTGATAGGCATCTGGTGTCATGGTAAACTCTGTTGATCCGGCCTCCTGATCGGTTTCTTCACCGCTTGAGCTCCCGGATTCTTCCAGAATCTCATCACCAGGCGTACTCGGAACGCCTGGTTGATCAAAGGGAACATCTTCAACCGGAGTTCCGGCTGAATCGTCTGACTTATACTCGGGGTCAAAAACCGTTTTCCTTGTCCGAGCCATTCTGTCCTACACAAGAACAGAGACAGTCGGATTCGCAGAAAAGTAAGGGTGTTCCATACACCCCCAGACGGCATCCCCAGTCCTAGATTCAGCCGTATTCGGTGACCGGTTGACAACTGCCCTAGGCCGTGCCGTGTGTGTATTGGGAGAGTCCATTATTCTCTAACCTATACAACCGGTAAACTCAAGAGGTTACAAGGGGGCAAAGGCGATACCTTGAATGTATGAAGACGTCTAAAGAAGACTTGGCTGAGATTCCAAAGTGTGGCTTGAAGATGCCACAGGCGGAGCAGTCAGCTTGCGTTTAAAACCTGAGGCACAAAGACACAGTCAGGCATTTTGGAAGAATATCACCCAAAGATACCCCAAGTGGTACCAAAAAATCTTGCTCAAAGATACCCTAGGCGGTATCAAGGAAGCTTTCCCAAAGGTACCCCAGACGGCATATAGGCCACCTGAGGTCCCAATGAATTGGGTTGCAGAGCATTGTTCAAAGACCCCCCAGGTAGGATCGATGAAGATTGCCTAAAAGCCCCCCAGGCGGCGATTATACCGGCTGAGGGTCTTATGAATGCAAATAAAAATATAATGGAAATTACCCAGAAATGCCCCAGGCAGACTATTTCCGGCTGAAGATTTTACAAGATCAGATCATGAGCAAGTTATGAAGAAAATTGCTCGGGCATACCCCAGACGGATTAAGTCCGGCTGAGGGTATGATGGATCCCAGTCTTGGAGAGCAATTGTTTGAAGATACCCTAAACGGTCCATAACCGTCTGTGGGTCTAGTTTCGAAAAGCAATTGTCTGAAGACACCCCAGACGGACTAAAGTCGTCTGTGGGTCTTGATTTGAAGATCCTTTGTTTGAAGATACCCCAGGCGGCTCATAGCCGTCTGAGGGTCTATGAAATGAAAGTTTTTGGTAAGCAGTTGTTTGAAGATGACCCAGGCGGAATATTTCTGGTTGGGGGTCTATTGAATACAAGATATTAAAGACAATTGTCTGAAGATGCCCCAGACGGCATGTAACCGTCTGTGGGTCTTTTGAATGCAACTCCTTGAAGACCATTGACTAGAGATGCCACAGGCGATATATCACCGTCTGTGGGCCTATGGGATGCATTATTGGAAATTCCATTGTTTGAAGATACCTCAGACAGTCCAAACCGTCAGTGGGTCTACCAAATGCAAGACATGAAAGAAAGGGCTTAAGGTGCCCCAGACGGTTTAAGACCGCCTGTAGTTCTACTCAAATCAAGAATAAATCTAGAGTCAGACGGTACCTGGGTGAGTTGATTGAAGAAGCACTCAAGCTGGGTGCACAATTAAGCAGCCGATATCAGAGCTCTCAAGAGAATTTTTTGCAAAATGTGTAAAGTGAAGAGGAGAGAGGGGGTGCGTCTCTATTTATAGACAATCCCATAAGGCGAATCTCCACCTTCTGCCTCAAATTTTCAAAATTCGAATCCAAGAGAGAGGCGGGAAGCAAATCAACTGTCGCTTCCCCTATGCTTGACACCTGTCACAGATGACACGTGGCTACGCCACGTCACACCTGTGAGGGATAAATGTTTAGGGTAAAAATACCCTATGCCACATGGTCCAGTAGTATGATGACACGTGGCAGGCCACCAGAGGCCCAACGGGATCCAATTGGATGCTGACACGTGGCAATATACCCCCAATGGGGGGGCAGATCCTCATCTGCTATAAATAGGGGAAAAATCCTCATTTATTGCCTATTCAAAAATACATATACAAAACCCGAGCAATATTAATTGCGGAATCTCTCTGAATCAGTGAGAAAAACCCATTTACTTTCCGCCCGTTTACCCATCCGGAGTCATACTAACTTGATCTTCGGAGGCGGAACTCCACCCAACCGGAGTTTCGTGGTTTTGCAGGTACAAAATTCAGGCGCTCATACCCAGTATCATAACTCTTCCGAGGGAATAAAAACACCCGAAACACAACCTACTTCTGTATTCCCCAAAAACAAAGGCAAATAAAAACTAAACACTCTTCCTTTAGCTACCTTCTACCAGCCTGCCCCTGTTCTTATTAATAACCCCCTTTTCCAGATCTGACCTCAAACAGTACACTCCTTTTTAATGATGAAGATGCCTGGGTTGACAATAGGCGAGAAAGTCCTTTAGATTGGGGAGAGCTTTTGGGGTTTAATGAGGATGTAAGTGGAGATGAACAAGATCCACTATATGACCCAGCTGTTGATAGAGGAAAAAGTATTGTTACTGGAAAAAAGGAGAAGGAAATGAATCTGAAGGTAGTTATGATATGGATGATGAGGATGAGCAACAGAATGAGGTGTTAATTGGTGGAAGTGATGGTTATGACTCTGTGGTTGATGAGGAGCCTTTGACAGCAAGGGAAAGAGTGAGAACTTGTACTGCCAAGTTGCTACAGATAACAAATCAGCTACAGATAGCAAATCAGCTACAAAGGGAGGCCGCTGAGGGTAAGCTGGGTTGTGAGGCTGATAGGGGGGTTGGAAAGAACCTAAAGTAGTTCCAGAGGGATATGTTAGTGAGTATGATGAGAGTGAGGATGATTTAATAACCCCAGCAAACAGTGGAGATAAGGAAGAAACTAGAGAGCAAAGGAGGTAGAGGGCAGGGAACTTAGTGAGTGCAGACACTGATTTCAGTGTTTTCATTTGGAAGGTGGGGCAGAGGTTTTCATCGAGGGATGCTTTCAGGGATGCAGTATCTAAGTATGCCATTTTACAAGGAAGGAATCTCACTTATGACATAAGCAACACTAAGGTAAATCAGAGGTTAGGTGTGAAGTGTGTGGAGGGTTGTGCTTTCTATTTGTATGGTGCTTGGGAGAGTAGGAGAGCAACTTTTGTTGTGAAGAATATGCAGTTGGAGCACACTTGTCACAAGAACATGAAAAGGAACAGACAGTTGAAGTCAAAGTGGGTAGCTAAACAAATTTTAAAGGTTTCCAAGAACAGACCCCATTGGCCAGCAAAAGAGATAGTTGAAACTATCAAAAGGGCCTTTAAGGTAGTTGTTCAGAGAGGATTTGCATACAAGGTGAAGTATGCATCTCATAAAATGCTTCATGGCTCAATGCATGATCATTATGCAAAGGTGGGAGGCTACATAGCAGCTTTGAAGGCTAGCAGTCCTGGTAGTTGTGTTGAGTTGGTGACAGTAACAAAACTGAACAAACAGCCTGCACCACCACCTGTTTTTCAAAGGTTGTTCACTTGTTTTGAAGGTCTGAAAAAGGGATGGGTAGATGGCTGTAGGAAGGTGATTTGTGTGGATGGGTGTTTCCTGAAAACCTTTTTAGGTGGGAAATTACTATCAGCTGTTGGAAGGGATGGGAATGAGCAGATGTACCCTATAGCTTGGGCAGTAGCAGAAGGGAAGAACAACTTATCATGGGAATGGTTTTTTGAGCAGCTAAAGAACAATCTTGGCCTAGGGGATGGTGAGGGTGTGTGCATCATATCTGATGAACATATGGTGAGTATTTCTAAGCTTCTTTGATTTTTCTTTGTGTCATTGATGTTAATTTCATTGTTACTTTTTGATGTGAACTAGGCCATTTTGAATGGTGTGACAAATGTTCTCCCTAAGGCTGAACACAGGCATTATGCTAGGCACATATATGCTTTGTGGCATAAGACCTATAAAGGGGATGAACTGAAGCTAATGTTCTGGAAAATAGCTAAGTCATACAACATGGCAGATTACAAAGAAAATCTTGAGACTTTGGAGAAACTAGACCCTGATGCAACAAATGCATTCACAGCATACAATCCAAGACTTTTTTGTAGAGCTTTTTTGGACACTACGGTCAAATCAGATGTAATTACCAGCAACATGGCAGTAACTTTTAATGGCTACATCATCAATACAAGAACAAAACATTTGATTTATATGCTTGAAGAGATAAGGGCAAGCCTGATCCAAAGGCTTGTGTTGAAAAGGATGGAAATGCATAAATGCAGCTCTTTTTTGTGTCCAAACATTCAGAAAAGGTTAGAAAAAGAGAAGAACAAGGCTGCTTACTGTGATGTTATGCCTTCATCAGAGACCTTGTTTAATGTCAGCTATCAGTTGGATTCCTTAGTGGTTAATTTAGAGGCTAGAACATGTACTTGTAGAAAGTGGGACATGGTTGGAATACCATGTTGTCATGCAGTGGCATGCATTTTTTTCTTGCACAAGGAAGCTGAGGCTTATGTGGACATATGTTACTGAAAAGACTTGTATTTTAAAGCATATGCAGGTATGAACCTTGTATGTTGTTGCACATAATGTTCATCGATTCACAACTATATTCATCTAACTTGTTGTATCTTGTAGGGTCAATTCCACCTTGTGAGGGGGAGAGACACTGGCCAACAGTTCAGTGGGCTTTGGATCCTCCCCCAATTAAAATAGGGTCTGGCAGACCCAGGAAAAAACAGGATCAAAGATCCCTATGAAAATCCTTCAAAGCCTGGTCACCTCACTAGGACTGGGATGGAGATCACATGCAATAATTGCCAATTGAAGGGCCACAACAAAAGGAGGTGTGGTAATCCAACCTCTTTTGCTAGTGAACCTCTCACCAAGAAGCAAGCAACTGCAGCTCAACCTCAACCACAACACCCACCTACTGAAGCAGAGGCTCAGTCACATCAGTAGGCTATAGCACAGCCTAGCCAACTTGGGAGGGGTAGTAGAATGATCAGAGGACGCAAGGGCTCAAGAAGGGGAGGACTAGCTCAGCTTCTGGTGGAGAAAGCAGCATTGCATCTGCAACAGGACAGGGAAGGGTTGACAGGGGATCAATAGGTGGCAGGGGATCAACAGGTGGCAAGGGCTTAAGGAGTGGCAGGGGCTCAAGAGGTGGAAGGGGCTCAAGAGGTGGCAGGACCAGGCTTCCTGTTGGTGTTGGAGTGCTATTTACAGCTGATGGTTCTGCTGCAATAAACCAAGGTCCATCTCATTCTGATGTAAACCATGGTCCTTCACAAGTCACCCAAAATGTGCGTCCCACTCAGACAAGCCACATTTGATGTATGACAGTACCAGCTAGGGTTGCTTTTAATTTAGTGAACAATTTGTGTATTTTGGTTAACAATTTGGTGTTTTTTTTTGTTGCTTTTAATTACTGAACAATTTGTCTGTTGCTTTTAATTAGTGAACAATTTCTCTATTTTGGTGAACAATTTGCTTTTTTTTCCCTGTGAATAATTACACAAAAAAATAGCTAACAATTAAGCAAAAGAAAGGGAAGCCTTTTTTATTCAATCATCAGTCTTAATAGCTACACATTACAACTAGAACACAACCAACAACAGCCTACTACTTGAAGGACATAATCACTATCCCAAACAAAACCCATGACAAAACCAAAGCCAAAGAAAAATTTCTCTCATTCCTTGCACTCTTCATCAACTCAATTTGTATTTGACTGACTTCACCCTTAATTTCTTGAACATCTTCTTCCAAGTTCTCTTTTTTCACCTGCATCCTCTTGACCTTATCTTCTAGCATCTGCTTGTGCATCTCTAACTCAGCAATGGTGGTTTCTTTTTCAAACAATTGAAACCGTAAATCATCAACCTCATCTCTCACACCTATCCACTTAAAAAAACCACAACCTGTATCCTGTACATCAAACCACAATTAGTTATATAAACCCTAATTACATTGGATAATTGAGATAATTAATGAACCAATTAAATTCTTACAGGCCATAATGGACAGCCATGGAACTTCAACCCCACATTTGGACCATTTTTCACCGATCGCACAACCGCATCTCTTCCACAATTACATTTAATCCTCCCATATGACCCCCGCCCCCCTAATGAAGAAGAAGACCCTGATGTTTCAATTTGATGCTTTGCCCTCTCCATTGCTGCCAAATTATCTAGATCGAATTTGAAAGGATTTTTTATTGAAGAAACAAACAGATAAATTAAAAAACTCGAGCAATTCTGTTGAAAAAAGAGAGAAAAGCCAACGGTAAGTGCCATGTCAGCGAGCAAACCGGGTATAACAGGTAAGGTAACCTGTTCAGTCCATTATGGGCAAAAAATGGCAAACTTCTGTCCAATATGGACAGATTTATAGGTTTATCCATTTTGGGAGAACTGGCCAAAGGTTAGTCTATCTATGTTAAAAAAAAACCTACTTTTTATTAAAAAACATTGGGAAATTATCAATAATACCCTCCAGGTATTGGCTTTTATCAATGATACACATCATTAAACTTTCATTATCACCGGTACCCCTAAACTTTTCCCTAATTTACTACAGTAAGCTTGCCGTTAATTAAACGTTAATTATACTTTGTTTTCAGCGTTTTAAAGGTCAGGAGGCTAAAAATACAACAATGCCCCTCTCATTTCATTTCCCTCCAAATTTCCCTTCCAATTTTCCCTCTTTTTTTTTGTGAAATTTCCCCTACTTATAACACATACCCTTCTTGTTTGCTCTTCACCTTTCCATCAACGCTCTTCTTTTCTTTTGATTCCAGTTATTTATCTCTGGAAAATCAATGGCTTCGTCTACCAGGGGTTCATCTGGCAGGGCACACCAAAACATCACAACACAAATTTACACTAAAGTTCAACATTTACACTGTACCATGCAAATTCATTGACTTGGAAATCGAATTATATGTCTAAAAAATACAAAATCGAGATTATGTAAGAGCAAAATCCAACAACAAACTACACATGTATACATACATTCATTTAAACCTAACAATTTAAACCATAAAAATCCAAAATTCCAGAAAGCACTAACCTTTAAAATTCCACACAGTGTCACTAAAATTCCAAGGATTTTGCTTCAATCCAGAAGAAGAATAGGGGAAAGGCGTCAAGTAGGGTTTACAGAAGAAGAAGTAGAACAGGGGAGAGAGTGAAGAAGATGAATGATCGTTTTTTTTTTTGTATTAATTGTTGTTGGTTGGGCTTGGAGGGAGGATTATTGAATGGGGGGCATTTTAGTCAAGTAAATTCAGACCAAAAACGAGTATAATTAACGTTTAATTAACGGCAAGCTTACTGTAGTAAATTAGGGAAAAATTTAGGGGTACCGGTGATAATGAAAGTTTAATGATGTGTACTATTGATAAAAGCCAATACCTGGAGGATATTATTGATAATTTCCCAAAAATATTTTATATTTTATTTTCAAGTATGACGATTAGGAATATCCCTTTCCCTATATAAAGAAAACTTCGATTTTCTCACAGCTGCACTACTCCCTCCCTCTCTCCTGTAAAGTTTGCTCTTCTTTTTCTCCTTCATTGAAGCAGATTCTGAGGTAAGATATCTTTACTTTATACTGTTTAATCATCGAATATCAATTTTACAATCTAGTATTAGTCGTTGATTTAATGGTAACTATATTCAATTTAGGGTATAAATAAAATTACTCAAGTTACTGTATTTATTCTTGTATTACGAAGTGTAATACCCTTTGCCTCTTGATCTCTATTTCTTGAGACAATTATTGATCTTGTAAATTGTTTAAATGATTGCATTTGAATTTGATGCACGTATATATTTTTGGTTATTCGAAATATGTTTTTGTTTTCATGTATTTTTTTCCTGTTATTCAAGATCAAAACGACTCATTTCAAAGGACTGGCGTGCTCGTTTTGATTTGCGTCATTGCATTTGCTTACCTGATTACTCTGAGGCTCTTAGCCGATTTATAACTCTTTCTTACCCAAGTAAAAATAATTTGACTCATTAATTCAATTATAAGATCCAGTGTTGTAGTATTTGAATGTTGCTGGAAGTAGTATTAATCTTGTCCTGTCTAATTTACCTACCTTGCTGATTCATCCTGATTTATGATATACAAGTATATTCTACTCGTTTTCGAGGTGTTAATGAAGCTGAAATGTTGTTTATAGATTATAGCATGTAGTATCATGTATGATGTATTATGTTCCACTGTTGGTCTATGTTATTTTTAAAATTAGGTACAAATGAGACAAAAAAAGAAATTTAATTGACGTCTGCTCGATCTTATGTCACTTGTTAAATTGTACTAGGCTCCCTGAACCATACATATATTTTGTGAGAAAAACTTACGGTGTAGTTCTATGTGCTATTCTTGATCCATGTTGTCGATAGAGGTATATATGGCTTGGTGATCTAGATGTCAAAGTCAGGCAAACTAATGTGGATAGTTCTTGCAAAGATAATATGGAAAAAGTTAATCAAAAGCCTCGGTTATTGGAAGTTTCTCCAAATTACATTAATCAACTCTCTTAATGAAATGGTTGATGTCCTGTGCTTTAGAAATTTTTGATTACATGAATGTTTCTATTGTCCTATGCTTTAAAAATGGGTTGATATTTTATGCTCTAGATGGCAAAGCAATGGGTGAGCTTTCTACCATTTTTTGTTAGTTTTTCCTACATGGTGGGGCTAGTTTTGGAGGAATTTCTGCCACATTACTTGGCCATTGGCATTGATATGTTTTTGGAAAAGGAAAGCTGCTTTTTCTTGAGTTGTTAACCCACTTCTGCTGCATGCTTGTAGGTTGCTTTTATATTCTATTTCATCTGTAGCACATGATGGCCGCAACAACAGCTACAAACTTTTCCTCTGCATCAATTGCTTCCGGCAATGTAAAGGTAGGCTTGGTTCCAAAAATGAAGTCATCAGGTCTTCAGATGAAATCTACCCATGATTTTAGGGATTTCAGTGGTCTTAAAGCAGCCGCATCTCTAACCTGTGAATCAGAGTCTTCATTTCTTGGTAAAGATGGTGTTACTGCCCTGCGAAATTCTTTCCAAACAAAAGCTGTGACACAAAACATCCAGTCCCTTGCTTCTCTGCAACCAAAGATTCAAGCTTCCTTTAAAGTGGCCGTTCTTGGAGCTGCTGGAGGGATTGGTCAACCATTATCACTTCTGGTCAAGATGTCCCCACTGGTCTCGAATCTTCATCTTTATGATATAGCAAATGTCAAGGGAGTTGCTGCGGACCTAAGCCATTGCAATACACCCTCAGAAGCTTTAGCTTTCACTGGGCCTGAGCAGTTAGGAGATGCCCTAAAAGGGGTGGATGTAGTTGTTATCCCTGCTGGTGTTCCAAGAAAACCAGGAATGACTCGAGATGACCTCTTTAATATCAATGCTGGCATAGTGAAGACTTTGGTTGAAGCAGTTGCTGACAACTGTCCAGATGCCTTTATTCACATAATCAGCAACCCTGTGAATTCAACTGTGCCAATTGCTGCAGAGGTGCTGAAACAAAAGGGTGTTTATAATCCTAAGAAGCTTTTTGGTGTTACTACTCTAGATGTTGTTAGGGCAAACACATTTGTTGCCCAAAAAAAGAATCTGAAACTCATTGATGTAGATGTGCCAGTGATTGGTGGACATGCTGGTATAACCATTTTGCCTCTATTGTCTAAGACAAAACCCTCTGCGAGCTTTACTGATGAAGAGATAGAAGAACTAACTGTAAGAATTCAGAATGCTGGGACAGAGGTTGTGGAAGCCAAAGCTGGGGCTGGTTCTGCGACACTGTCTATGGCCTATGCTGCTGCTAGATTTGTGGAGTCTTCTCTTCGTGCCCTTGATGGAGACTCAGATGTGTATGAGTGCTCGTTTGTGCAGTCAGAGTTAACTGATCTTCCTTTCTTCGCATCAAGAGTTAAGCTGGGAAAGAATGGAGTAGAAGCTTTTCTGAATTCTGACCTGCAAGGACTAACTGACTATGAATCCAAGGCTCTTGAAGCTCTTAAGCCTGAACTCACAGCTAGCATCGAGAAGGGTATTGCTTTTGCTAACAAATAATCAGTTAATGCTTGATCTTCTCTTTAAGGTATGTAGTTCGGCATGAAAATGCCCAGAATTTTATGATGTTAGACTTGGTCGTCGCTCTCATTTTTGTAGCTTGATAGAGTTTAATTTCCATTTAAAAATAATTGTGTGAGGCTCAAATGTTGTTTGAGAGGCTTTGGTGGAGCAACTTGGCTTGTGATCACTGCTGTGAGAAAAGGCTTTTATTGTTTTTATTGTCGGTGCTCTCTATCATGTTTAAGTTGTCTGTAAGTTGGCTAGAGCAGTGATTTCTCAAGCCAAGCCTGTTAGCCTGAACAGAGCTGCGGAATATTTTGTTGAGATCAGTTTGAAAATAATGTCAGTGAGAATTGTGGCTGCTTCTAACATTCTAAGCTTGTGCTTTCTAGATTGGTGTTTCTTGTCATTTAATTCTAATTGCCAAATAGTTATGGCTTCCCAGTTCGGATGCCATACATGCTTATTCTGGCTACCGTAAAGGATTGTCAAGTACTTGATAGTAATGAGAGAATTGAACATACTTCATTGAGCTAGGAGTCTAGGACAAATATAATGCGAATTCAAAATGCTACACTGGCCTTGGTGGTTGATTAGTAATGGGGAGGCCACTACTCCATGTTTCAACCGGGTAATGAAATTACTTTGATGAGTTCAGTGAAAATTTCAGAAAAGAACTAAGAACCCATGTACTTGTTCACAACTACAGGCACATCCAATGCTTAAACTTTGTTGGAAGAAATATCAGAGTATGAGGACAGGATGAGAGCAATTGAACCAACACTTCCTATGCATGCTTAAAATTTTGTATACTTATATTGAACGCATCGCATAAGGCTTTAAATTATGACTTAAGAACGCTTCGCATAAGAACGGATCACATAAAACTTTAAATTTTGATTAATTAATTACTCCCTCTATATTTTATTACTCGATTTATTTTTTCATGCGCAGAGCTTTAGGAGGAATAGTTGAAATTAATAAAATATAATGAAAGTGAGGTTAGTTGCTGAATAAAAAATGAGTGGAGCAAGTAATAAAATACGACCGCAAAAAAAAAGTGGAGCAAGTAATAAAATACGAAGATAGTATATAAGTAACATAATTATATAAAACTTTGTATAACGATTGAACTTAATATAATAATGTAGAAAGTAGTATACGATTTTTATTTAAAGCAAGAGATCAATTTAAAATACTTCATATGAAATAAACACAAAATAACTAATAATGTCTTGATTGTGTTTCGTAGTTTATAAGCATTGATGACATTGCAACTTGTATAAGCTGTTTTTTTCAGCTAGAAAAATTATCAATTATTGCCCAATTTTGTCAAGGTCGGTCTACCAATTATTGGTTTGTTTTTGAATGCCTTATTATATTTTTTTCAAATATACACCATAATTTTTTTTTTTTTTTTTTTTTTTGACGGGTACTCCATAAGTAAATTAGTAAAGTGTATGTTGAGCATTTTACAATGTGGCCACTAATTTTGTTACACATGCTTGAGAACGTCATGAATATGTGTCATTGTGTGCGTCTGTGTTCATGCAATCATGCTTGTATTATTATACTCCGTAATAGATATGCCTGTGCGCATGAAAGATGACACATTGATTACAAAATATCCATGTTACCATGGTCCATGTATATCTACACTTCACACTTGACTAATATTTATATACGAAGTAGAAGGTTTCTAATGCAATTATATATTGATGTTTTACTTTGGGATCCGAATCCTACCAAGTGTGGGTAGTTGAAGTTAGGGATTTTCTTACCATCTCCTCTAATCCCAAGTATCTAACCTGTAAATAATAAATCTAAAAAATCTTGAGCGCTGAGGTCTGCAGTAGGACAAAGAAGTTTAAAAATTGAAGGGAAGTGCAGTAACCCTATTGCCTCAAGTTTACCAATATACGAAGTATATACTATATAGTGCAGGAAGTAAAGAACAAGTAGCATAATTAACATGTAATTGGCAAATGGAAAGCCAAATTTGCTCTCTGCTGCTAAATTTATAAAAGATCAATTTGTAAGTTTCACACTTTTATTCATTTACACTGTATATTAGCTTCATCATCCATGAAAATGTATATGATAGGACAGTAATGCTGAGTATCAAACCATGATTACGAAAGCAGAAAGACAGTAGCAGTCACACCAAAAAAAATATAAGAGGACTGCATATGAACAATACTTGTGAACAGAGAAGCATTTTGAATTTATTGAAAGTAGAAAAATTCCAGTGATGATCTGTGAACTGAGGGACTAGTGCTGTTTCTTCCCGGTTGCCACTTCCCAGGCCTGCAGAATGTGGTTGACAATTTCTTCTACACCTAACCCGTGCTTCACCTGCTCAAAAACGGTTCATCATTGTTAATACAAAACTAAATCAGTGGCACGAGATGTAAAAATGCTCAAAATCAACCAAGCCGATGGGTGGATCTAATATATTTGAATGTATGTAGATGAACCTAACCTTTTATGAATAGAAACACTCATGAAGGTCAGATTTCCTAGAAAATTTGAAACTCTAGAAACATGTTCTTTAAAAGAGCAATAAGTTTTCCACCTCAAGATCTCTAGAGACACATAATGACTGTTAGATTTCGGAAAAACTCCTCAAGTTGGAGTGTGTACCATTGATCAATATATATATATTGTTACAATACTAGTCCTAATCGAGTTACGAGTTCTAGTATGATAAGAATACAAACTATATCAAAATATATACAAAATATATCCTAACTCTGCAACAAATATTATCCTATAATAATATCTATCATACCCCCGCAATCATAGCGGGAGGAGGTCGTACGCTAAGACTGGATCTAAAATCCAAAAATAAGTCTCGTGGTAGGGCTTTTGTGAAAATGTCCGCAAACTGATATCTAGAAGGAACATGTAGAACCCGAACTTGTCCCAAGACAACCTTTTCTTGAACAAAGTGAATATCCATCTCCACATGCTTGGTGCGTTGGTGTTGTAGCGGGCCAACAAACAATAGTAGCCTGTTAAAGAGGACAATGTAACTCAAGTTAAAGATTACGAAGCCAACATGCCTTAGAGACAACATTTGCGACGCCTCGATATTCTGCTTTTGCACTCGATTTAGATTAAGTATGTTGACGTTTAGATGAGCAATAAACGAGGTTGTCCCCAAGTAATCAGCAATAACCCAATGTGGAACGACGGGCATCGGGACAACCTCCCCAGTCAACGTTAGTGTAAGTAACCAAACTATGAGAAACAGACGAATATAAATGTAAGCCATGATCAATGGTACCCTGAATATAACGCAGAATGCGTTACAATGCATCATAATGAGATTCCCGGGGATCATGCATAAAAAGACACACCTGTTGTACCGCATAGGCAATATCTGGCCCGGTGAAAGTGAGAGAAGAGCACATGCTAAATTGCGATAAAAAGTAGGATCCCGAAAAGGTGGTCCTGCATCTGCACTAAGTTTGGACTTAGTGTCAACTGCAGTAGCCCGGAGGTTTACAAGCCCCATAGCTGCACGCTCTAAACATACTTTTCCTGTGAAAGTAGCAAAAGAGGGAGTACAGGTCACCGCAATCCCTAAAAAGTAGCTCAGAGGACTCAAATCAGTCATAGGGAACTCAGTTTGCAGCTGAGATATGATCCCCTCACGCAATCTGTCACAAGAGGTAGCTAATATAATATCATCAACATAAAGAAGCAAATATGTCATATCATCACCCTATCGGAAAGTAAAAAGAGAGTTGTCACTTTTAGCAATGACAAAGCCCAATCTAACCAAGAAATTCGCAAAGCGTTGGTACCAAGCTCAAGGAGCTTGCTTCAACCCATATAAAGCCTTACGAAGTCGACATACATAAGAAAGTGCTTTCCGATCAACAAAACCCGGAGGTTGATGCATATAAACAGTTTCCTGCAAATCACCATGTAAAAAGGCATTTTTGACATCTAATTGATGAATCGACCACTTGCCATAGCTAAGCTGAGAACAGTACGAATAGTACTACTACTGGACTGAAAGTCTCATCACAATCTATACCAACTTCTTGCGACCTGCCATCACAAACAAGACGAGCTTTGTGCCTTTCAAGGTCACCATTAGACTTGAATTTGTGTTTAAATAGCCACATACAATTAACAATGTTCACCCCCATAGGCCTAGGTACCAAATCCCAAGTCTCTGTTTTAATAAGAGCATTATATTCATCTTGCATCGCCGCATTCCAATTAGGGTCACTAAGAGCAATTTTATATGACTTAGGAAGCGGTGATTTATGAGAAGTGATGGTCATATTAGCAGAGTTATATTTGGGGTTTGGTTTAAAAATTCCATGTTAACTTCGTGTAACACGAGGTGAAGGATGGGGTGGACAAGTGGGTTGGATTGGAGTTGCCCCACGAATTGGAGGTGGAGTATATATGGGCTGAGAATTGGAGTTGGTAGGTGAAGAGGGCCCATTTGGAGGAGAGTAGTCTCCTGCGTGAAGAAAAGGAGGAGAAATAAGGGGGCTTGGCAGACTGGGCCGTGATAGTGGGCTGTGCGCCGCAGCCTGCCTGCGGTCCTTGCTGATCCGTGTGAATAGGAGGGGAATTAAGGGGTTGCAATGGGTTGGGGCGTTGGGCCTTGGTAAAGGAGTTTGGGGATGGCCATTTGTATTGGGGTGCTGCAACAATGGAGATAACAAAGGACTCGGGTCCGTAGCCTCAAGGAAAGTATAATCCGAATTCCGAAAGTGATTTAAATTACGGAAAGGGAAAGTAAACTCGTCAAATGTGACATGACGAGAAATAATAAACTTGTTTGCAGAGAGGTCGAGACATTTATATCCTCGATGATTTGTAGGGTAGCCCAAAAAAACACATGGAGTGGACCTAGGAGCTAACTTATGTGGGGCCGTGGCCGATAAATCAGGAAAACATAAGCATCCAAAGACAAGTAATCATAAGATGGGATTTTGCGAAACAAAGCATAGGCAGGAGAGCCATTGGCAAGAGCTTTGGTAGGCAAAATGTTAAGGAGATAAGTTTCCGTTTCTAGAGAATCTACCCAATAAGGAGGAAGTGAAGCATGAATGAGAAGAGTTCGAGAGATGTTATTTATGGTTCGAATCATGCGTTCGGCCTTCCCGTTTTGGGATGAGGTGTGTGGACAAGAGAAACGGAATACTAAACCGTTTTTGACACAAAAAAGTTTGAAAGGATCATTATCGAACTCTATACCATGATCACTTTTAAAGGATTTAATAGGTCGTCCAAATTGTGTGCTAACATAGGCTCGAAAATTCAAGAAAGATTAAAAAGCTTGTGACTTGAATTTTAAAGGTATAGTCCACACAAAGTGAGTGTAATCATCCAAGAGTACTAAGTAATATTTGTGTCCATTATAGCTACGAATAGGTGATGTCCACAAATTGGCATGAATTATCTCAAAAGCAGTAGAAGTAGTACTATTGGAATTATGAAATGGCAAACGAACATGTTTTCCTAATTAACAAGAAACACAGAAGTAGGAGTCATGCTCCTTATTACATGGAATTAAATTTCTAGACCTAAGAAAGCTTAAAACTGAATTTCCTAAATGTCCAAGATGATCATGCCAAGAAGGTGATGTGGTAGCGGTGAGTGAGGTGGCAAGACAAGTTGATGGATTGGTGTTTGTGGTCACAGGATATAGGTCCCCCGAACTATTGCATCTCGTTATTACCTTCCCCGGACGTAGATCCTTCACAGAAAAACCAAAAGGGTCAAATTCTATGGACACAGAATTATCTGAAGTTTCGAACAGAGATTATGTTTTTAACAATTTGAGGTGCTAAAAGAACATCATGGAGGGGGTTGAGAGTAAGGCATAGCAGTGTGGCCATAACCCGTTACTGGAATGCGATGTCCATTACCAACTAAAATATGATTATTGGTGCTCAAATTAAACAAGGGCATGAGAGTACCTGAATTGTTGGTCATGTGTGATGTCGCTCCCGAGTCCACGTACCAAAAACTGTCTTGTAGTAGTGACATAGTAGCAAAAGAATTTCCCAATTCGGTAGGAGTCATAGGGAGCCCGTAATTAGGAGCCGGGTAGGCCGGATATGATGCTTGATAAACCGGTTGTGGGAATTGGGCCACATAAGCTGCTCTTTGTGGTTGAACATTGGGCCTAGCAAGCTGTTGGGCTTGTTGAGAGAATGGAAAGGGGGTAAGAGCCCATTGCAAAGCTTGTTGAGGCTGCAGGGTCCAATTAGGAGATTGTCCCCATTGTGGAGCTTGTGAGGGAGGCTGCGATTGTAGCTGTTGCTGGTTTGTGTCTCGCCCACGGCCTCGTCCTTTGCCTGTCTTACCAGAGCTACCACGCCCGCGGCGTGGCCACCTCCCCGCCCGACGCCACCACCGCCAACCCTCTGCTGCTGCGGTTGGGTTTGGGTTGATTGAGTGACGGTACTAGAGGTGGTAGTATTAGTTTGTTAGAGCAACGAAGGCCGATTGTGATCCTTGATCATTCGACCGTCTTGTTTCCTCAAGGAGACGAGACCTAGCAGAGGCTCCGTTTGTTTAATGATCGTGGCAACCGTATCATAATCTGTGTTGACGAGACCCGACACAAGCCGAATAACAAGCTTTTGATTTGTCATAGGTTGGTCTACAGTAGCGAGTTGGTCTTTAAGCATCTTCAATTGTTGACGGTAGGAATTAATGTCAGCTTTGGACAAGTGAAGTGAATTAAACTGATTTTCAAGATAAACGGCCCATGTGTTTTTGTTATCTTGAAATAAATCCTTTAATTTGTTCCAAAGTTGTTATGCCGTATCGCCTTTGCAAAGACAGAGCTGAGAAGGTCCATGGAGATCGTTGCATAAATCCATTGCTTGACAATGGAGTCAAGTTTAAGCCATAAAGAGTTGGAGATGTCGGACGATCTAGGGGTTGACGAGTCGATGTGATCGAGAACATTGAAGGCATGGCAGTGAACTTCAAATAATTCAACCCAATTGGAGTATTGCACCTTTTCCCAATCAAGAATCAAGGGAATTGCATTCTTGATACTGTTGACGGAGAGAGCCGAATAGTATTCCGTCGATGGTGGAGGAGGCGGTGGAGTCTTCCTGTCCTTGGCCATGGAATATGGTCGAAATTAGCTATGCAGGCTTGAAAACAAAAAGAAAACGATATGCTACTCACTGTATAAAGGGGTATTGTAAAACAAATTAATTACTCACGATATGCAGTAGTGGGAATCGGTTTGCAAGACTTTGATTGTGGAAAAGAAGAATAAAAAAATAATTTGTGAATTAACCAAAAACAAAATAAAAAATTGCGGAAGCTAGATCGAAAACCTAGAGCTGTAATACCATGTTAGATTTCGGGAAAACTCCTCAAGTTGGAGTGTGTACCATTGATCAATATATATAATGTTACAATACTAGTCCTAATCGTGTTAGGAGTTCTAGTACGATAAGAATACAAACTATATCAAAATATATACAAAATATATCCTAGCTCTGCGACAAATATTATCCTATAATAATATCTATTAATGACCTTATTTCTTCTCTCTTTTAAAAAATCTTCTAAATTTACCATTTTCTATTTAGCAAACAATTTGAAAGAAAAATTATTGCTTTCTTGCTTTAGTTTTAGAGTTCACATGTTTCTTAAATGTAAGAAAATTGATAATTGCATTGCAGTGATCCCCCATGGCAACAAAATGAGGATACCATTGTAATGGAAAAAGCTTTAGGCAAAATGCTTTGCATTAGCCAAAATAAGTAATTTGAGTCATAAAGCTCAGGGTTGGGACTTAGGACTGTTAGGAGGGAGGGAGAAAAAAAAATGGTTGAAAACCTGAGCAAAGACGAATGGTCCTCCATCTCGCATACGAAGAGCATCTCTCTCCATGACAGCCAAATCAGCTCCGACTGCAGGGGCAAGGTCAGTCTTGTTTATAACCTGCAGTAAAATGAACATGAGCAAGGCTATTTCAGCAAGGACCATCATTAAAGCTATGGCAATAAAATAAAATATACATACAAGAAGGTCTGCTTGGGTGATGCCTGGTCCTCCCTTGCGTGGAATCTTATCTCCAGCAGATACATCTATTATGTAAATGATGTAGTCTGCCAGTTCCCTGCTAAAATTGGCTGCTAAATTGTCTGTAAGAAATTTGCACACATTTGTATTAGCAATTAGAGTGTGGCCCAGGCAATGTCTTGACCTTTTACTTTAGATATCATAATTTGCACACAAGCATGTATAAAGTTGCTATCGACACCTACTGGAAATAGCAAATAAAGAGTAATGAGTATACATTATATATATGTTGAGTAAAGATCATACCTAATACATAGCTTAGATGACAAACGTTGACTTTAACTCTTGTCGATCTCATGTTTGAACCTTACAGCCGTTACAGGGCCGAGGGAGGGTCCCATGTGGCATATGTATTTTCTCAGGAACACTTTTTTAATATATTAATTAATATAAATGTAAATTCTTCAAGTTCTTAGACCAGTTTAACGGTTAGTTTGGAAAGCAACGGTGGAGGGGGGGGGGGAGGGAAGTAGGCTTGTGTTATCCCTTTGGATATTTCCAACTTAGGATGGATTGGTACAAAATGGATCCATCTCTCTCCCTCTCTTTTCTTTCTTTTCAGGTTCTCTAATCCAAAAAGGCAAAAACATAGTAAGTTTTTCATTCATCACCATACTTCCCAAGTTCTTATCCCTTTTTTTTTTTTTATTTAATTACACGAACCCATTAGTCCTTTCTGTATCATGATAGAACTTGTTTTGCAATGTGGTAGAGAGAGTATACTATGGAGTACATCAGTGACATAATTGTGTTCTACATAGGATTTGGACCATACTTTAAAATAAATAATACAGGGCGGTTAAAAGTGGTTAGATATGAATAAAAAAATTAAATTGAAAGTGGACAGAGAAGGAACTAGTAAGAGCCTAAGAGGTCATGTAGAAATTGTGAGATACAAAGGGTTGATGCACTGGAGAAGGTAAAGGTAGTAAGCGAAAAGGTGGACTTACATCAGTGGTGATAAATTTAGCAAAGCAGATAAAAATAATTAAGATAGTATTGGGACATCCAAAATTGTTTAAATTGAACTAAAGTCAAAGGGAGTATTTAGAATATTATTTGTGACTAGCTACAAACAATAATGAAATTCTTGAAAAGTTGAAGAAGAAGACATGGATAATGTAGTCCCTCTCCTAGGGTGAGTAGTCCCGGCTAGGGTTCAGTAGTTGAAGGTTTTTGTAGTGTGATTTGAAGTGTTTCCTGTGCGTTTTCTTGCTACTTTCCTGTGATTTTCTGTGTGTGCTCTTACTCATGTGAATGGCTGAAGAATTAATCAAAGAGTGGGAGAGATTTCAGTTGACAGAGAATGAGGAGAAGGTGATTGGGGGCGAAGGTATCGCAGAAGAAACAGAGGATACCAAGGCCCAGATCAAACTTATTCTTGTCGACAAGTTGTGGACTGTGAAACCATATAACATTGATGCGATGAAGCGAACCCTTCAATCTGTCTGGAAATTGCAGGAGAAGGTTTCGATTAGAGTGATTGAAACGAATTTGTTCGTTTTTCAATTTTACTGTCACGAAGACAAAGAACCTGTTATTGAAGGATGCCCATGGTTTTTCGATGAAAAACTCCTATTGCTTAAGGAATTACAGGGAGATGAACAACCATCAGAAATCACCTTTACCCATACTCCTATGTGGGTGCGATTGCTTGATGTGCCATTTAATAAACGTAATGTTTCTGTAATGTATGATGTTGGGGAATTCTTAAGTGGATTCATTGAATTTGATGATGATGACCCCTTGGGGTGGGATGAGTATGTACGCATGAAAATTTTGGTAGATATAAGGAAGCCTCTGCGAAGAGGGGTTTTTCTGGCTACTGGTTCATCATCAACGAAGTGGGTGGATATGAAGTACGAAAGGCTATCCGATTTCTGCTTCTTTTGTGGGCAGCTTGATCATACGGATAGAGAATGCCACACAAAGAGGCTGCCAGGGATGAATCAAGAGAGGTTGCCTTTCAATATGGGCCGTGGCTGCGCGCTACACCAACGAAAAGAACAAAGACTGATCTTGCTGAAAGGAAGAGGGAAAAATCATGGAGAAATAAGTTTAAAAATTCTGCTTCAGCAAAATCTGTGGGATACAATGATCCTGACACTATAAAGCTTGGCCCTCCAGGGGCGGCTAGAAAATTATTTTTCAATTCCCCAACTAAAGTTCTAAACCGTGAATCGAGGCTAATGATTGAGTCCTCTGCTGATGGGACTTAAAAAGTGCTTAGACAGAGAAGTATTTCTGGGAACTTGGAGGGTGTTGAATCTGGTGGGAATTCAAATAGTAGAGAAAATGACGAGGAGGAGGTTAGTCCGTCTTTTATGGAAGAAGATGTGGAGGGGGGGGGGGGGATTGTAAGTGATGATATTAGTGAGTCTGAGGGAGTAGTGGGTGTTACTAGGAGCAGTGGCTGGCATAGGAGGTCTGGGAGAGTGGGTCAGGATTGTACTATGGTGGGGTCACAAAATGAAACAGTCAATGTGTCAAAAAAGAGGGTGACTAGGGATGAGGAGGGGGTAGGGTCTATGGATGCAGGTGGTGTTGGAAATAAAAAACAAAAAATGATTGATGTTCATATTGCCGGAGACGGGGTAAATCGAGTAGAGGGTAGTGGGTTAGGCCACACCCTCGAAGAGCAATGAAAATCTTGAGTTGGAACTGTCAAGGGCTTGGCAACTCTTCGACAGTTAAATCTCTCTGCGACTGGTGTTGGAGAGAGAGGCCGGAGATGGTTTTCTTGATGGAGACCATGGTTGATAGTAGCGTTCTAGAGAAGATTAAAAGGAGGTGCGGTTTTATGAATGGCATGTGTTTTAGTAGTATGGGGAACTCAGGTGGAATAGGTTTTTGGTGGAGAGACTTGAATGTTGCTACAGTTTCATTTTCTACTCACCACTATGCCGCAGATGTTCTTGATCACACCGGGGTAGCAAAATGGAGAGCTTTTGGCATATATGGGTGGCTGGAAACCGGACTTAAACACAAAACATGGGAGCTTATGACAAATTTGAAAGCAGAATGCTCGACACCCTGTGTATTTTTTGGTGATTTCAATGAAATATTATTTCAATCCGAAAAAGATGGTGGGGCTATACGAAGAGAGGCTCTCATTGATGCTTTCCGTGTGGCAGTTGACGGTTGTGACGGTTGTGGGCTGCAAGATCTTGGTTATAAGGGAAGCAGGTTCACTTGGCACCGGGGTAAATCACAAGTAACCTATGTCCGTGAACGTCTAGATCGATTTTTGGCAGACAATGTGTGGTGCAATTTATTCCCCAATTTTTCAGTTCGGCATTTTCCCATTTATACTTCAGATCATGCTCCTCTACTTCTTGATGCTCGTGTGGATTTTGAAAAGGGGTAAGGACATAAGCTGTTCCGCTTTGAGGCTCTTTGGTTACGAATGATGACTGTGGTAGAGTGGTTTCGAAGGCGTGGGATGATGGAGTTGGTCAAGATATGCATCACCGTATTGCAACATGCGCATATGAGCTGTCACAGTGGGCTGCTGGGGTTTTTGGTGTTGTGAAAAAGAACATTAAAAAAGTCGAGAAGGAGTTAAGGGAGACACAAGCAGGGACGATGGATGGGGAAATGTTAGCAAAGTGTGAGTAAATATCTGCCAAACTTGATGAGCTTCATAGACAGGAAGAGTCCTATTGGCATGCTAGAGCCCGAGCAAATGAGCTTAAAGATGGAGATAAAAATACAAAATATTTTCATCGGAAAGCTAGTCAAAGAAGGAAGAAAAACAGAATTTTGGGCTTGTATGACAAACATGATGTGTGGCACGATAATCAACAGAACATGGAGAAAATAATTGAGGACTACTTTTCTGTTCTTTTTAAGTCGGACTCCCCGACTGAATTTGATGCGGCTTTAGAGGGTATCACCCCATTGGTCACGGATGAGATGAACCGATTACTGGAGACGGAGCCGAGTGCCGATGAAATTAAAGATGCCCTTTTCCAAATGCGCCCGAATAAGGCCCCGGGCTTGAATGGTATGCACGCTCTATTTTTTCTGAAATTTTGGCATATTGTTGGTCCTAATGTGATTTCTCTTGTCAAAAGTTGGTGGAATGGCCTTATCGATTTGTCTGAGATTAATAGAACATGTGTTGTATTAATCCCCAAATGTGATGATTCGAAATATATGTCAAAGTTCAGACCGATTAGTTGTTGCAATGTGGTCTATAAAATCATTTCGAAAACTTTGGCTAATAATTTAAAGTTTTTCCTAAATGATATTATCTTTGTGAATCAAAGTGCTTTCATTCCGGGTAGACTCATCACTGATAATGCTCTTATTGCTTTTGAGATTTTCCATGCTATGAAGAGAAGGGGGGAGAGGAAACATGGGTCTATTGCATTGAAGTTTGACATGAGTAAGGCTTATGAGAGAGTTGAATGGTGTTTCCCGGAAAAGGTGATGAATAAATTGAGTTTTTGTGGTACTTGGACTCGGAGAATTATGGATTGCTTGGCTAGTGTCTCTTTTTCTTTCAAGGTAAATGGCAACATCTCGGGGTCAGTTACTCCCACTTGGGGTTTGAGGCAAGGAGATCCGATCTCACCATATTTGTTTCTCTATTGTGCCGATGCCTTCTCTACATTGCTTACAAAAGCTACGTTGGACAATAAAATCCACGGAGCTAAAGTGTGCAATGGTGCTCCCCATATTTCACATTTATTTTTTGCAGACGTTTTTGCTAGATCAACTTTGCAGGTCATCAGTAAATATGAAAGAGCATCCGGTGAGAAAGTCAATTTAAACAAGACAGAAGTTGCTTTTAGTAAAGGAGTATCGGAGGAAAGGAGACTTGAAATTGTGAACACTCTTGGAGTTAGGGAAGTAGTGAAACATGAGAAATATTTAGGGTTGCCGACAATTATTGGTAAATCCAAAAAGGCTATCTTTGCGTGCTTGAAGGAGCGAATTTGGAAGAAATTGAGTAGGTGGAAGGAAATGTTGCTCTCACGACCGGGTAAAGAAGTGCTCATCAAAACGGTCACGCAAGCCATTCCTACATATATGATGAGTATTTTTAAAATCCCGGAAGGTTTGATTGATGAGATTCATGCGGTCTTAGGTCGATTTTGGTAGGGCTCTACTACAAATTCCCGAAAATTTCACTGGCAAAGATGAGACAAACTGTGCACTCCAAAGAAGAATGGTGGACTGGGTTTTCGTGATCTTAAGTGCTTCAATCAAGCACTACTTGCTAAGCAAGTTTGGCGACTACATAACACACCAAATTCGCTGCTACATTGTGTTCTAAAGGCTAGATATTTCAAGCGGTGTGGGGTGTTGGATGCCTATCGTGGTCATGATCCGAGTTATTCGTGGAGGAGCATATGGGGTGCAAAAGCTCTCCTTCGTGATGGGCTAGTTTGGAGGGTGGGTAATGGTCACAATGTGGGAGTGTGGTCTGATGCTTGGTTAATGGACAAAGGCTGCATTATTCGTCCATCTCCATTAGCAGCGAGTGATATGGAATTGAAGGTTTGTGACTTGATTGATGCAGACTGGGGAATGGAATGTAGAGCTAGTAAAAAACAACTTTGGGCCGGAAATTTGTAGTCTGATCTTAGCTACTCCTTTGTCTAAACGGAATCTCAATGATACTCTCTATTGGTATTTTAATAAGGATGGGGGATATACCATTCGTTCGGGCTATCGGATAGCTAAGGAGGGGGTGCCTGATGTGCTTGTGCCTAATGAGGGGTATGGGGAGCAGGATCTCTGGAAGGGTATTTGGAATTTCGATGGACCACCAAAGCTAAAACACTTTTTGTGGAAAGCTTGTAGAGGTTTCATGGCAGTCAAAGAACGTCTCCAATACTGCCACATAACTCCAGATGCAGTGTGCTCCATTTGTGGTGCGAATAGTGAGTCTATAATTCATACTTTGTTCGAATGCACTCATGCTGTGACAATATGGAACATTAGCAATTTGAATGGGGTAATGTATGATGCTCCCTCGTCTTCCTTTAAGGATAGATGGGTTTGGATGGTTTCGAAGTTAAGGTGTGAAGAACTGAGACTGGCGGCTGCACTCATGTGGGCAGCTTGGATGTGCTGCAATAAGGTGATCTATGAGCAGGCAAGTGTCAACGTAGTGCAGGTTGCTTCGGGAATGATCAGGCTAGTTGAGGATTACAAACACTACTCGGCTAAGGTGTGCTGCCCTTCTACTAAGCCCAGGGCTACTGTAAGATCGTGGTCTTGTCCTAGACAAGGCGCCTTCAAGTTGAACACTGATGCGCATTGTCTTGAAGGAATTAAGGTGGGTCTTGGTGTGGTTATTCGTGACTGTGAAGGAAGGGTGGTGCTTGCTGCAACTAAAGTCCATCATGCTACTACTCCGACAATAGCAGAAGCCATGGCAGTGAGGTTTGGGATCCAAATTGCAAGAAGAATGGGGTATTCTCGGATTGAAGTTGAGAGTGACGCTTTGAATGTGATAAGTCCATTTGCCAGCAAGGTACAAGGTTTTTCTCCAGTATTCCTAGTTCTGGAGGATATATCAAAGGATAGCATCTTTTTTGAGTCTATTAGCTTTTCTCATGTTTCTAGGGCCTGTAATTCCGTGGCTCATCTTGTTGCAAGATGGGATACGGGAGAAAATTCGGAGTATGTTTGTACTAGTTCTTTACCCCAAAGCTTAATCTCTTTGGCGGAAATTGATTTATTATAATAAAATGGCCCGTGCTTCCTAAGTTTCAAAAAAATAAATAAATAAATAAATAAATAAAATAAAATTGTGTAGTACATCACACAAAATCATCAGCCAAGGCTAGCTAGCAAATACCTGATAAATTACAACAGAAGCAGTCGTGCAAATGAGCATCTCAAAATGTAAGAACGCCAATTGTAAGGCTAGATACTATTAATCTCCTTTCTCCATTTCCTTTTTGTTTTTTTTTTTTTTTAAATTTTTATTGCAAGGGACATTTCACATATCACAAATTATGAATCAGAGATCTATTGCAATCACACAGGCACGATTTATAGTTTACATATCCTTTTTCATGCTGAATAATGCTCCTCTTCCCCATTCATGTAATCCTAATAGACTATGATCTCAATACTCACCAATTACCAATAAAAGGAGTGACATACTTGTACAAATACTAGCAGATAATAAGATGTTCAGCCATATAAGACATCAATTACGTAGAAGACAACACATTATTACCTCCGCCAGATTCACAAAGAAGTATGTCTGCTTTGTATAAATTTGAAAGCTCTTCAAGAGGACCAAGATTTATGCTAATATCTTCACGAATAGCGGCATGTGGACAGCCGCCTGTTTCAACAGCACGTATCCTTTCCTCTGGAAGTGCACCATGCTTTATTAAGAATTCTCCATCTTCCTTTGTAAAGATGTCATTAGTCACCTACATCACCACAAATGTTTTTCCATTAAAAGGTGACGTAGACAATATAATCAATATGCAATTTTTCAAATATGAATGCACCCGCTATCTCAGCCAAAGACCTGAACCCGAAGTCGTTCAATACTTCAATCCCTTCTCAAATAACATATCTCCAAAACCAGTTGGCGTATTGGTAGCAAGACTCAAACCACAGACTTGCTTGTGTGGAGATATTCCTAAAGCTAATTAGTGCTATACACTTAGATTTTAGACAGGAGATTAGTTCCAATGAGAAGCTGCTTACTCTAAGAAGCATCTTGTGTAAATCAGGAGCCTACTAATTGTGAAATACAAGTAATTTATTTAAGTAGCGTTCAACTAAATTTTTGATTGTTTCTAATGTTTAATTCTAAGTTTTAAAATTAATTAAGTTAAAGGTAATCTTTGAAACCGTTATACAATGGAAAGAAAGTAATGTTCTTTTGTCCTCATTATAATAGTTTCTGGTTAGAGAAACAATAAGTGGAAATCAACAAGTAAAAAATTTCACTCAAAGTTTCCATTTAAAAAAATAAAATAAAAATTCCTGACTGAGATTTTAATATACCATCATTTAAAGCCAATGGGCAATATTTTTTCACATATAACTGAGCTAATAATTCATGAAGACGAATAGGCACTTCATATTTTACTGAATATATTCCCCCAACTGTATGCTGAACTTTGCCATAGGCTTTTAAAACGTAAAAGGCCAAAATTTGTATCCCTAAAATTTGCCAGTTCATAAGAGGGTAAAATGGTAAATATAAACGGCAGATAACCAGGCTCAAATTTTAGAATGAAGCTTGCTATCTTGACTGCAACATTTTCCACAAAAGAAAAGGAATTAAAAATATTTCCAAAACAAAAAACAGACACATCCATATATGTTCTTGATAAACAATAGCATTTTATTCCACCAAGTAATGATCCACTTGATTTACATCCTGTTAAAAAATATTCCCAATGTAATACACGTTTAATCCCATTGACATAGAGCTATGTAGAATCAGTCAAACACCAACATAATAATGATCAGGAATCTCATCATGCAGTAAATATTCAAAAATACAGTCCTAACCAGTATCCAGAGAGTTAATGCTTCTTAACATTAGGACATAAAGAGATGCAATTGAGCTTACAGCAGCAAGACTATATTTGTCCCTCAAACACTTGCACAAAGCCAGCATCAGAGCTGTTTTCCTGCATACAATACACCAGAATATTATCAGAATTACAATGCTTCCCACTTCTCAAGTTCTCGGTAAAGTTAGGAGTAGGACAAATTATTCTTCCTCTGACAGCTGCAGACTCATAGCAATTCAGAAAATGAGTAAAAAAAATAAGGCAGAGTATTATACAAGCTTATCTAGCTAGAAAATAGCACTTAAACCCATCTTTGACAAGAAAGAAGTGATCTTCCTTACAGATTATCTAACAGTTGTTCTCCCATTCTTTCTCAGTTTCTCAAGGTTCGACATACAGTCATGGTGGTAGGCCTGATAGCATTTCAAGTTGATATACAGTGAGGTCAGTGACAGTCAACCAAATCCTATCAGGAAAGACTATTTCTCTGAGGAAGGAAATCTTCTTTACTCTTTTCAGGATGCCATTATCTCTATTATCAAGGATTTCCTGTTCTTTCCAAAGCTAGTTGTCACTGGAACATGTCATTTAAGCTAGGAAAGGATGTAGGTCAGTCAATTATCTATCCCTTCAAGAGTAATGAAAATGGCCATCTTTGTGATCATAAGAGTAAGGCTAGAATCTCTGCGCACTTGTAGCCTTGTAGGAGTAAAAATGTTAGTCTAAACTAAGATTGGCACTGGACCGGAATGATATTAATAATGGACCCCCATGGCCCAGGACATAGAGATCCAGGACATAGAGATCCACAGCTGTGCGTGACCCTGGCCCTCATATGATTGTGTTAGGCTGAGTTAATAGTGTTTGTCCTAGATTAATTTTCACATTTATCAAGAAAGATGGGCAAAGCCTAATAAAAAAGAATTCTAGTGAAGTTGATTTAGTACATATTCTTGAAGTAATTACACAAGTGGACATAAGTAGCGAAAATACTAATGAATTTGTGTGTAAATTTGTAAGAAAAGCTCATATTCATTAATCATTACCATGCTATGCAACTTCCCCTAAACATGTGTTATTCTTCATAAATCATCATTACTATAAAACAAGTGTTATGCCATAAAAACTTCCCCTAAACAAAAGGAATACTGTCTTTCAAGTGAAAATGAATTTTTATGAAAAAAAAAGGATAATGACATGATTTTCATCTAAAATTAATACACAAATTCATGGGCCAGTTTACCAAACAGGCAGTTAGTGTATACTCAGTATAAATTAAAACTTAAAATTGGGGCACTAGGCTAACAATTAACCAAGTTACCGAACTCAGCCCCTCAACTAAAACCAAGACAATCATTATGAATCATAGGGAGAACTAAAAAATTACACCCCCAACCCGAAAGTAACAGTCACATTGATAAATATAGAGTGAACTAATGTTTTGGTACAAAGACGAATTTGAACTAGTAAAGTGACAATTCAATCGGGATAAACGGAGTATTTATTACCCGAAAAAGCACCTCAAAGCACCAACCGGCCCACAACCGACCAACAACACACCCCACTAAAGCACAACCCACATTGTACCTTCCCCACAACTTAGGTGGAGGAACAACCCTACCAGCCACCACCACCACGAACTACCGTGCCGTGCTGTACCGATGGTGGACCCTTGTCAGATCCACTACATCAATAAATACCATAATACTCTATTTTTGACAAACAATGTATGATAATAATTGGTAAACTACATAGTATAGCATTAAATAAGAACAAAGCCGACCCAACTTATGGGATTAAGGCGATCAAGTAGAAGAAGAAGCTAAGATTAAAAAAGAAGAAATAAATAGAAAACATAAAAGAAAATGAAAAATAAAGATTACCCAGTACCAACAGGACCCCCAATACCAACAGTAAAAGCTCTTTCATGAAAATCTCTGGTAATCAAAGGAGGAGCTCTTCTGCTGAAATACCCAGGTGAGTAAATGGGTTCATGACTATGTGGTGCTAATCCATCATGGCTGTGATATACTTTTCCATCACGATATATATATTCAATTCCTTCTTTTTCCCTGTATTATAAATTATTTTTAAAATTCAAAAATCAGTATTTTGTTTGAATTAAGAGTGAAAAAAGATGCAGAAAATAAAAATCAATGCCAATAAAATTGAAGAATTGAAGAAATTGGTTTTGTTGTTTGAGTGGTTAAGAGGAAGAAATTACTCGTGGGTGTGATGATGATGGTGGTGATCGCCATGGTTATGGTGGTCATGAGAGTGAGAATGAGGGTGAAGATTTTGGGAATCCATTGTAAATCAGTGAGACAGTGAAAGTGAAACTGTGAAATGACGAGATATAATGCTTGGTTTATGGTCACTAATGCTTGGTTCATCAGACAGTTCAAACAACATTAAACGCACATGCATTTCATGTGGTGATAAATATTACTTACTTAGAAAGCGATATTCCAGCATAAATCAGTGGCGGATCCAGGATTTCTAAACTGGTAAGTCATTATTGTTTATTGATCACATATGAAAGTACAAATTTATTTTTGGATCTAGTTCATAATTGATTTCAATCTAAAAATTAAATAAAAATAAATAAATTATATTACAACCAAATTGATTTCAATCCAAAAATAGGACACAAAAATCCATACTACGAACAAATAATACAACAATTCATCTTACAAGCCATTATTGTTCATCTTACAAATAATACTACGAACAGTGGCGGATCCAAGATTTCTAAACTGGTAAGTCATTATTGTTTATTGATCACATATGAAAGTACAAATTTATTTTTGGATCTAGTTCACAATTGATTTCAATCCAAAAATTAAATAAAAATAAATTAATTATATTACAACCAAATTGAATTCAATCCAAAAATAGGACACAAAAATCCATACTACGAACAAATAATACTTAAACAATTCATCTTACAAGCCGAAAATACTACACATAACATATAACAAATAAATAGTACCCACCCATTACCCTTAATAGTAATGAAAAAAAACGTAAATTTCCCTTAGAGATCGGTTGTTTAATATGACCGGTCTCTATGACCCATTACTTTTAATAGTAACAAAAAAAAATAAAAGGACCTTAGAGACCTGTTATTTAAGCAACCGGTCTCTTTGACCCATTATTGTTAATAGTACCAAAAAAATAAAAGGACCTTAGAGACCAAATAACCGGTCTATTTAGTTGAATAAAACAAGAAAGCAGCGGAAGTGAATAATCCTAACATCTAAGAGACCTGTTATTATAATAACGGGTCTCTTTGATTGATTTTTTTTTTTTTTTTTGAGCTGGTGCTGCACGTGCACCGGTGTGCACCAATGTAGCTCCAACCCTGGCATAAATGCGCAATGGTGATGCTCAATTATATTCATCAGCAAAGACACCACTCTCACAAAGACATTTTTGGGTGAGCGTCTGGAGTCAATTAAACTTGTGTCCAAAGAAGATGAAACGTGTTTAGTTATATATGTGTAGTTTGTATTTTGAAAATGTTTCAAGCGTTATCCTTGACAAGGGAGTAGTCCATTAATTCTTTGTTCTGTGTTATAAATTTTAAAGAACATGAACATGATATACATATATATATATATATATATATATATATATATATATATATGTATGTATATATATGTATGTATATATATATATACATGTATACATATATACATACATATGTATACATATATATATATATGTATATATATATATACATATGTATACATATATATATACATATATATATATATATATATATATATTTATACATACATATGTATACATATATATATATGTATATATATATATACATATGTATACATATATATATATATATATATATATATATATATAAAGAAGAAGAGAGAGAGAGAGAGAGAGAGAGAGAGAGAGAGAGAGAGAGAGAGAGAGAGAGAGAGAGAGAGAGAGAGAGAGAGAGAGAGAGAGAGAGAGAGAGAGAGAGAGAGAGAGAGAGAGAGAGAGAGAGAGAGAGAGATTAGAACATGTCATTATTTGTAAAGAACGTGTATGATGTTGAATTCTTATAATATTCTCTTTAAAAATTCTCCCAAAAATAATTTAAGATTTTATTTTCAAATATCAAAATTTAAAATTTTATTTAAAAAATTTCGGTTTTCAAAATATTTTATTTAGGTTATATTATTTCACCAATTTTGTTTTTTTATATATTTTATATAATTATAATATTTATCTTAATAATGGCCATGTGTATTTCTTTTGATTTTTTTTATATGATTTAATAATGTTCTTTACCTGAAAACATGATATATTTTAAATTTGTTTGTAATGTACAAAAAATTATTAGCACTATGTTCTTCCATATATTCATTATTATTATATCATATCATTATCTTTATTGGATCTCTTGATGACTATTTTAAATATTCATATTCTTTGATTATAATTGCAATGTACTTTTATAACCACATAATGTTCATTTATAAAAGTACATTACTTATTGTGAAATATTTTTGGATCATGCTAGGTAGATATAAATAATGTTCATTACATAATATCATCACGTTCTTTATTAATATTACGAATGTTCTTAATACTTGAAAACCAATCATCAATAGAGAAGGTCTTAACAGAATATCATCATCAGCAACCATCATAATCTTGATTTTTTATAAAAATAATATATGTTTGCACAATTAGATGATAATTAATATACAAAAAATTATAGAATTAATAAATGATATTGAAAATTAAGGTTCAAATTCAAATAATATAAGAGATAAATTCAGATAACGTAGACACAAAAATACATACAAGTTTAACAATAAGAACAAGAATTTTGAAGAACACATAAGGGATAAAAGAAAATAACAAATGATAAAATAAATCTAATACCTAAAAGAATTTGTTACTAATGTTCTTTCCAGGTACACCATGTACTTGGTGCACCCGAGCGTATCATAGAAATTCATTTCCTTAATTAGGATTTGAACTAAAATAGTGATATTAGAGTAAAGTTGGTTTAAGAGTAATGGGCTTGATTTAGATAAGACCAATCCTTGAGAAGGATATTTTCATTGACCAGAACTAGGCAATGCACAAAAACATTTATTCCCTTGTGTGATGTATGTTCGAGGTCACATGGAGATGACTCATTGTGCGAAGAAATTCCTCAGCATATCAATTGTCAAAATTCATTATTTTTTTATAAAAAATCAATCTATAACTAATATTAAAGTAGAAACCGCTGACATCATTCCCTTCCTAAATTGTATACATGACATTCTCATAAAAATATTTCCCGCCTAAATGTATTGATGTCATCATTTTATTATTTTTTTTTCTTTTGTGTTAAATTCTTCCATCTATTAGGTCTAGAAAATAGTATTAGATAATATTTACCAATCTTAAATTAAGGACTAATCCATTCCCTCCAATTATTGAAACCCTTATTGCTTTTCTTCTTCCTCAATTGTGTTGTTTTGCCGCCTACTCGCCTCTTTCTTAGTTTTTAATGTCTCCATCATTATTTCAATATTTAAATTTCGCTTATTTATTAATGTGTGCAGTTATTGATTCTTTTGTTCTATAATTTTGATTAATATTCAATGTAATACAATTGTGTTTTTTTTTTCTTAAAAAAAAAGTTTTTCAATTAATTATAAGAAATTGTGATGCTTTTAAATTTGTAATTATTAATCAATTTGTGTTCTATTTGTTAAATCGATCTCGTACGGGAGCTAACTTAGTACTAAAAGCGAAACCAGTGATGACACATGTCATCCACTGGTTGAAGATTTTCCCTCCAATTTACCTTTCCTTATTTGTTTTTGTCTATCCTTCATAAAAAGTATTTATATCCTAATATTCACTTTCCACTTTGGCGATTATATTTTTTCCATACACACTCAAACGAAATATTTTTATATGTATGTATTTTACATTAAGTAATTTTGTTATAAAAATGAGCATAATTAAATTGTATATTAGGATACTATAATTCGTTTTTTAGTAGACAATTGTTAAATTGATATTATACTTCACTATAAATTAAGTAAAATCCGTGCATTGCATGGGACTTTCACTAGTTACTTTAATGAGAAAAGATCATGAAATTGAAATAGGGGCTAGCTTAGTGACAACAAAAAAGGGGCTAGCTTAGTGACAACAAAAAAAGATGTTACTATTAAATTTATTATAATTTCACTTAGAAATATTGTTATTACAATACGCATTGAAAACTGTGCAATATTTCATATACAACAATCAAAACAAAATAGAAGGATACTTGTTTTACGTATGAGAAAGCACATAGTAAGCCAACGCCAAATACATAATGATAGAGTATATAAACCGATCTTGGGCTTTAATAAGATGTATATAAACCGATCTTGGGTTTTAATAAGATGATGGTTGAGGCCTAAAAATATGTTTTATACTCTATACACTTGAAGTGTGGATGTAGCATGGGCCCTCCTTTCAAAGTGGAATATTAAACGTTGGGGGGTGTTTGGTATGTGGGAATTGGGGCTTGAGAATGGGAATTGAGGAGGTAGAAGTATATATTGCCTTGTTTGTTTTGTTGGAAGGGGAATTGTAGGTGGGATTGGGATCGGGAATAAAATTGCTCTATTCTCATGATTATATTACCTAGGGGGGCAAGTAATAGAGATGAGATTATTGTAAATTTGTCATCAATGAAAACATAAGGGTATAACATTAGTAAGGGTATTATTGTAAATTTGCTATTTTATTCCCATCAATTCCCCTGACAACCCAAACAAGGGATTGTCAATATTTTATTGAATTCCCAACTATAAATCACAATCCCGGCCCATTCCCAACCCTTTAATCCCCAAATTCCCATTCCCACTTGCCAAATGCCCCGGCTAGGTATTGGTGAGGCCATGCTACATCCACACTTCAAGCCCAATGGGCTCTCATGTGAGGGGGCGTGATAAAGTATATAAACTAATCTTGGGCTTCAACCATCAGCTTAATTTTTGGTTGAGCTAGTCCACTAACATGGTATCAAGGCTAGAGCCAGCGTGACACAAAGGTCACGGGTTCGAATCTCATCCACCCCTCCTTTCAAAGTGGAATATTAACGGTGTGTTTGGATTGAAGGAAATGGAGGGAAAGGAAGGGAAGGAAAATGGAGGGATGGGGTATCTTTCATTTGGATAACAAATGAGGAAAGAAGGGAATTGGAGGGAAGAGAAATGAAGGGATTAAATTGTAGGAAAATGATCCCTCCAACAATGGAGAGATTTGAAAGGAAAACTCACCATTCTTCCCTCCCCTTCTCTTCCTTCCCTTTTCTTTATCCAAACACACTGCTGTAAGCACTAGGTGTGAGGAGCACTCATGCTTCATCCACAGTATACTTC